GTTCTCCTGTTGAGTTCGTAGGTGTTCAGAATGGTTTGATCCCTATTCAGCTGAATTCCTGAGACCTGGCGAAATCCAGGTCTCCTACTCCTCTGCCATCTTGCTCCGCCCCCCATATTTTACAACTTTAAACATTACTTTCAAACATTTTAGAAATTTAAAATTTCAATGCTGTGCTTGGAAAACAGATTGGCAACCGCCAGCATTGCCACGAGGCAGAAATCATATAAAACTGAGCACCATCTAATCCGTTAGAATGGCTGAATCTATTTCTAAATACATCCATGTACATTTATTCAACAAATATTCTTGAATGTCTGCTGTGGTCCAGGTCTTTGATATAGGTCAGTGAATGAAACAGACAAAAGTCATTGTGTTCATGGGAGTCAGATCCCAGCAAGTGAGGCAGGCAATAAGCATAACAAATTAGTAATCACATAGTCTATTAGAAGGGGATGAGAGCCATGGAAAGATGCACAGGGCATAGAGCAGGGCAATGGGGCGTTCTAGGTGGGGGAGAGTGGGCATTTTAAATACGGTGGTCAAAGAGGGCTCCATTGAGAAGCAGCTCTGCCACAAAGACTTGGATATGGGACAAGAACCAAGAGGGTGTCTGTATGAAAAATATTCCAGAAATAAGGAACAAGTGTAAAGGTCCTAATGCAAAAAGGGCAGTGTGACTGGAACAGAGTGGGACAGGGCAAAGTACTAGGAACCTATGGGGGTCCAGGAGGAATTTCTCACCACTGAGACTTTTCTACTGTGGAAACCTGTCACTTCACTTAAGCCTGCTTTCCTACTGGAGATGCCCAGGGCTACTTGAAAAGCCCAAAAGGCAGTTCTTCCATAGCTCCCAGGCAAGATTAAGGACCCTCTGTTCCGACCCCACTTTGAGTTTCATTTGTCACATTTACACATAATGACATTTTATTTATCTATTTACCCACCTTTATTGACATATAATATTGTGTAAATTTGGGGTATACAATATGTTGGTTTGGTAAGAAAGGTATTTTTAAAGTCATATCAGGTTATGGCACTTTAGAACATTTTAATTAGCAAACTGCATTTCTGTTCTGATTCTGTGACTTGGATGCACTGGAAGGAGTGGGAATACAAGTATTTTCTGGCTGTCAGGGAAGCTTGAAGCCCTCCCTTCCCCGAAGAGATCGGTAGTCAAAGAGGGCTATAAGGGCATCGGGAAGGATAGCCTGAGATTCAACTTAGAAGATGTTAAGGGAAGGGAGCGTGAAGAGGTGGGATGACCAGAGCAAACCAGCGTAGGACCTTTGATCCTTGGAAACGGATTCCGAAAGGAGTGGGCTGATGTCTAGAAAAAGCTCTTGGGATTAAAGTGGGGACTCCTGGGCATCCCCTGGGAGCTGATTCTTCCAGTTCAGACCACCTGGGCAATTGTGGAGTGAGACCAGCTCCCCTTGCTGTCTGTGGGGCAGGGACAGAGAGGACAGGTTTTTGTTCTCCGTAGCTGGAGTGATCTGTGAGAACTTCTAGCGCCTGGAAGAAGACATGTGCCTTTTTCGGTTCCTTTAGCTGGAGCTCTGTTGGAATAGCTGCATGGACCCCCTTCCCTTGCCCCTGCTGACCCCTGATAGCTCAAGATCCAGGTAAACTGGAGATCAGTGGTGGGGCTTGGGAGGACAGAGAGAGGAGGGGGCCCTCCCACCACCCACCTCCAACCTGGCCTGGCCTTGAAGCCCACCCACATTCTTTCCTTAGTGGGGGCGATTTGCATCGAAGGTTTTGGCAATCACTCTGGTCAACAGCCGGAAATCCGAACAGGATGTTCGGAAACCTGACTGGAGCCATATTTGGATATTATAGATTGGATTTTAATGGTCTTATAAAAGGGGTGGGATCTCCTGATCAGACCTCACTCAGAAAGGCATTTGGAGAGCAAGGTCAGAGCTCCACTGGAGCACGACTTGGTGCAGCTGAATGCGAGGGAAATTTCTCAGGAAAGCAGAAACAAGGATGCTCCAGCTTTTGCCTCCCTTGCGGCCCAGAGTGGGAAATATGGAGGCCACCGAATCATCTGGAACACTGCTGGGACTGGTGAACTAATAAGTTTGGTATCTTCCGCTTTGCTTCTTTTAAACCATGGGTGGACAAACTTTTTCTGTAACATAGTAAATATTATAGGCATTAGGAGACATGCAGGCTCTGTTGCAGGGCTGGACTCTGCCACAGTAATGCTGAAGCAGCCACCGACAGTAGCCTTAAACCAGTGATCACTGATGTGTTCCAATAAAACTTTATTTGTGGACACTGAAATTTGAATGTCATAGTTTTCACATGTCACAAAATATTCCTTTGGGTCTTCCCAACCCAAGTTTTTTTAAAAAAATGTAGTATGTGCATAATAAGTGTAATATATATATAATATATATATGACATGATATATATATAACATATAATATATATAAAGTAAAAAATATATACATACACACATATATGGGTGTGTGTGTGTAAAACCCTTAAAAATGTAAAAGCCATTTTAGCTCACTGTCTATGCAAAAACAGGAGGTGGGCCAATCCCTGGCTTAAACCATTTGCAAAAATGCAGCTAGCATCCTATTAGTGAATTGCAAAATAAATTTAATGGTCCACAATGAGCTTATGGAAAAAAATTAGAATTTTTCATTGAATCTAAGATGCCATCAACTGTAAGATACAACATTATTTCTCCTATCACCCTATAATACAAAGAATACATGCTGCCAAACAAACTATTAAATGTCACTGATGAGATGCAGTCTTATTTCAGAAATGGGAAAATGGAAACACTAACTGTTCTTTAGCATTGATAAAATTTGTTAATAGCATAGAAGGTTGCATATCCACCACAGGGGAGGTATTGTTTCAGAAAACTTTTGTTACAACTACACATACCCAGCCCTACATACTGGCTGGAATGTTTCCCTTGCCTGATAATGTTAAATCATTTCGATTTGGATTTCACTAAATGCTTGGAAAGCTTGGAATTAGTGGGTTTGGGCCTATTGTACACATAAGTGATTATATTGATAACAGCTACTAATTATTTGTGTAGCAAAGATTTAGCATTGACAGTATGCTAGACATCTAGGATGTCTGGAACTTAGGATACAGCAGTAAAGGAAACATAAGTCCCTTTCCTCCCTCCACCTAGTGGGTGGAGACAGAAAACAAAAGCAAGGTACATTTATATAGAGTTGACCCTTGACCAGCATGGAAGGGGTTAGGAGCACCAACTCCCTGTGCAGTAGAAAATCTGTGTAAACTTTTGACTCCCCCAAAATCTAACTCCTATTAGCCTACTGTTGACTGGATGGTGCCTTACTGATAGTATAAACAGTCAACTCATACATATTTTGTATTTTCATGTATTGTATATTGTATTCTCATAACATAGTAAGCTAGAAAAAAGAAAATGTTATTAAGAAAATCATAAGGAGGGGCACCTGGCTGAGTCAGTAGAGCATGAGACTCTTGAACTCAGGGTTGTGAGTTTAAGCCCTACGTTGGGTGTGTAGATTACTTAAAAATAAAATCTTAAAAAAAAAAGAAAGAAAATCGCAAGAGAAAATACATTTATAGCACTCTGCCGTATTTATTGAAAAAATGTGCATATAAGTGGACCTGTGCAGTTCCAAACTATGTTGTTCAGGGTCAACTGTATTGGGTGTTAGGCAGGTGATAAGCACTAAGTTGAGAAATAGCATTGGGGGTGAGTAGGGCATGTGAGTTGGGGGAGGTGGTGATTTTTGATAGCATGGTTAGGGAAGCCTTGCTGAGAAGCTGTGGACCTGAAGAAGGCCAGGAGCCAGGATGGGGGTATCTGAACACTCAAGGCAGGGCAAGCCACAAAAGTCCTGAGGAAGTACAGGGTGTGGTGCCTTCCAGACTCACGGAGTAAGTGCAGTGGAGGGAAGGAGAGGCAGAAAAGATAAGGACTGGTGGGTATGGGCCAAAGGCCTAGGGATCTTTTTGACATTTTGTGTTCATTGGCCTTTCTTCTGAGTGAGTTGGGAAGCCATTGGAGTTCCATAAGCAAAAGACTGCCTGCCAGCTCTTTTACATATTTTAATAGGAGCACTGGGGACGCTATGAGGAGATATGACAAAAGAGGTATGGGGTTGGAAACTTCTGCAATGATCCAGGGACAGAACATGGTATCTTCAAACATGACCCAGGGAGAGAATAAGATGCCTGTAGTCATGCTCCAGGGGGAGAACGTGGTGTCTTGGATCAGAGAGAGGGCAGTAGGGGTAGAAGAGTGTGGTCAGGTCCTGGATATCTTTGGAAAACAGAGCAGGCAGGGTTTGCTAATTGATTGGCTGTAGGGTATGGGGGAAAGATTGACAAAGGATGTCTCCAAAGTTTGTGAACTGAGTGACTAGGAGTGTTTACTCAGAAAAGGAACACAGCAGGAGGAGCAAGACTTTTTTTAGGGTCTAAGTTTTGGTAAGATTGGCTAGAGATCTTAAATATCCCAGAGGGTACACCTGGGAGTAGGGGGAGGCTAGCGTGATGCCTAGGGTGCTAAAATGCAGGAGGCAGGTGCTCTGAGATACTGAACCTGTGCCTCTTTAACTCTTGCCCTTAAATATTGTGCCCCAATCCCTCACCTGCCTCACCCTAGTCATGGCCCTGCAAGAGGGCATGTTGAGCTTGCAATTGCTGGAGACCTGGGGGCTGGAGAGGTAACTCTAGGACTATCTTGTCACCTAAATAGTCGGAGCCTGTTTTCTCAGGTGTAAAATAAGGATGCTAATAGTTATCTCAGCATTTCAGGAGAGGACTAAATAGGCAATGATTTTGGTTTTTGGAGTAAATACTATTAGTTTTATCCAGATAGTAATTTACAAAAAGAAAGCACTGGAAGTTGAAGGGACCTCTTCAGGCAAAAAGCAGTTGTAAAATGGCAGGTCTTTCCTTGTCATGTGAGGACAAACAAGTGCCAGAACCACCAGAGAAGAACATAGAATCCAAACACAGGAACAGGGAAAATGAAGATGTCGAGCTGATTTTAGTAGGAGTGGAACATGTAAATGAAGATGCAGAAATTCTCTTTATCAGAGCGATTTCAAATTCAAAACCAGTCATTTCAAACATTTTGAACAGAGTGACCCTGGAATGTTATTCCAAAAGAAAGAAAGGCTACTGGAGTCAAGATCCTGCTTGTGCATTGCAGCCTGCAAACCACATGACCCATGGGCCCTCATAGTGGCCACCCCAATCTGCATGGAGAGTAATAGATCATCCTATTATTTTTGAGCCTTCATCTAAACCTGATTCTAAAATGAGCTCACCACAAGTCATGCCTCGCTGTCCCTCATATTTGCTCTCTATCTCACTGTCTACTTGGAGTTATACTTTTTGTAGGAGGCAAGGAGAAGTCCTTGCAATTCAAAGCAACTTCCCGCTTCCAATATAAACAGTGGAAATCCCAAAAGACCTAAACTCAGTGATGGAATCCCAGGAGGACATTCCTCAGCTGTGGCCATTTCTCTCCTACAGTGAGCATGAGCACAACCTCAAAATGTGTCCCATCTTCATTAAGCCATGTTCAGAATGGAGCATTATTTTCTTGGACTTATGTAAATGATAGGACATATTTCAATCTTATGGATCTAGACACACAAAAAATAGCTTGAAAAGCCTGGAAAAACCAGACTTTTTGAGTCTAGCAAGTCAAAATTAGACTGTTGATCCTAAGAAAGAAAATCTGATCATGTTACTTCATGACTTTTACTATGTGCAGCATAAAGGAGACAGGCAGCCAAAACAGAAGACTCACACAACCTTTAAATGCCTCAGCTGTTTGGAAGTTCTAAAGAATGTCAAGTTTATAAGCCATGTGAGGAGCCATTTGGAACTTGAGAAGCAGAAGGGTGACAGCTGGGAAAACCACACCACCTGCCAGCACCACCATCCCCGATTTCCCACTCCCTTTCAGCTGCAGTGTCACATTCAAAGTGTACACAGCACCCAGAAGCCCTCCGCTGTCTGTAAAGTTTGCGGATTGTCATTCAAAACAAATCACGTTTTCTTACAGCACATGAAGGACAATCATAAGCCTGGTGAAATGCCCTATGTGTGCCAGATTTGCAATTACAGATTGTCAGCCTTTGCTAATGTGGAAACATGTTCCAGAACATGCCATGAAAACACTAAGAATTTGCTTTGTCCATTCTGTCTCAACATTTTCAGAGCTTTCATTCATACTCTACATGAATCACACTCTACATGAATCATTATTGGAGGCACCTGAACAAGAATCTTTCAGTGTTTCAAATGCCTACTGCGGTTTTTGACTTCAAAGGAGAAAACAGAGCATCAAACCAAGAAGCATCGAGCTTTTAAAATGCCAAAACAATTGGAAGGGTTGCCTCCTGAAACAAACTTCAGTTCAACCAAGTTCAAGAGGTGCAGCATCCATTAGTGTGAGTAACACTCACTTCTAGCTGTCAACTGTAAAATCTAAAAAGAGGACTGCCATGAACTCTAGCTATTCCAGATGTTACCACAACAGGCGTTATAGCTCAAATTATATTCTGCCCACCTCCAGGGATACTGAAAGGCAGAATTGAGGCTAGGCCATCTGTACATCATGTCTATGGATGATAATAGTCAGTGATAGTCAGGTTTTGTGGTGACAATTCTTCAGGTCCCTACTGTCAAGAAATAGCATAGAGGGGGGCGGAGCAAGATGGCGGAGGAGTAGGAGACCTGGATTTCGTCTGGTCTCGGGAATTCAGCTGAATAGGGATCAAACCATTCTGAACACCTCACGAACTCAACAGGAGATCGAAGAGAAGAATAGCAACAACTCTCTGAACAGAAAAGCGACCACTTACTGGAAGGTAGGACGTGCAGAGAAGTGAATCCGAGGTGATATTTGGGAGGATAGATGGCGGGGGAGGGGGCCTCCGTCGGCCGCTTCTGGCAAGTGCTAGAGCCGCGGAGCACAAAATCGGAACATTTAGAAGTCGGCTCCGCTGAGGGACGTCGCTCCAGTGGCTAAGCGGGGGGTGGAACCCTCGCGGGACAGTGTGGTCTCAGGACCCTCGGGGTCACAGAAAGACCGGGGGTGCCTGAGTGCAGCAGAGCTCCCGGGTATCGGAGCGGGGAAGCCGGCTGCGTAGACGGAGCCGAGGCGCGGGCTCTCAGCTCGGGGTTGCCATAAACTGTGATCGGTGACAGTCGGGCCACTGCTCCTCCAGCAGGGACCCAACAAGTGGCAGATCCGGGGAGACTCCCCTTCCTCCCCGGGGAGGAGTGGCGCGGGAGTGCACTGCAGGGATCTGCTGGGTTTGGAGACTCCACATGGGGTTGGGTGCCAGAGATAGAAACGCTCGGTCACAGGCCGGGTGAGCACGGAGTGCGGCCGGAGACCGGGGACACGGGAGTGACTGACTGCTTTTCTCTGGGGGCGCACTGAGGAGCGGGGCCCCGAGTTCTCAGCTCCTCTGGGCGGAGATTGGGAGGCTGCCATTTTCACTGTCGTCCTCCAAAGCTGTGGGGAAAGCTTGCAGGGAACAAAAGCGCCCAAGAGCAAACCCGAGCAGCTTGCTTAGCCCGGACCGACAAGGGCGGGGCAATTCCGCCTCCGGCAAAGACATTGGGAACCATGGCAACAGGCCCCTCCCCAGAAGATCAGCATGAACAGCCAGCCAAGACCAAGTTTACCAATCAATGAGAACGGCAGAACCCCCGCGCTAGGGGAATACTGCACATAGAATTCATGGCTTTTTTACCATGATTCATTACTCTTTCAAAGTTAATTTTTTTTAACTGTTTTTTTTTTTTGAATTTTTCTTTTTCCCTTTTCCAACCAACATCTTATAATAAATCCCTTTTTTTAAAAAAAACATTTTTATTTTTCATTTTTAGAGTCGTATTCTATCCCTTCATAGTAGATACCCTTATTTTTGGCATATATATATAAGTTATATCTCTTTAAAATTTTGAGATACAGTTTCTTCTAACAGATCAAAATATACCCTAAATCTCTAGTGTATGGCTTTTATCCAGCCTGATCACATTCTCTCCCCCTTTTTTTTCTTTCTTTCTTTCCTTTTTTAAAATCCTCTTCTTTATTTTTTCAAACACCTTCTGATCAATTCCTTTTTTAAAATTTTTTATAATTTTCATTTTTACAGTCATATTCCA